ACTTGCATCTGAAGAAGTGAGGTTCTTACCCACGAAAGCTTATGCTCCCTATACTTCTGTTAGTCTCAAAGGTGCCACGGGACCTTCTGTTGTATTCTGGGAAGTGTCAAAGGCCACAAATATGCACTGTGGAACAATAGTAAGATGACTAGTTGAACTGTTTCAGCTAGTCTGTGCCTGCACTGGTGCTGAAATGATATTTAATCCTCTTGAAACAGTCCATTCCAAATGGTATTTACCTTCATCCCCACCCCTGAATTGGAGCACCAGTGTGTGTGGATGCAAGCTGTTCTTATAATTATTAGGTCTTAGAATAGTACATTTCTTTAGTGTAGCCTTAGATAAGTGCACTGATAGTTGCAAAGACCGGGATGATCAATCTATTGGTACTATTATCACACTGTAGTTGCATTTCCGTTCCTGCATAAGGGCCTGATACTGGGTGTACTGAGGATCCTAACTCCCCTTGAAGTCTAGAAACTCAGGGAGATCTTGTTCTTAAATAATTAATTGCAGCTTGGAAAACCTATTCTTGTTGCTTTAAACTTTTCTGGTTTCTAAAAAATAATACACCTCAAAGGACACTATGAAATTATGGTGCTCTATTGTGTGCATGGTGGAAAGAATATACCAAGTATTTTGGTGGAAAGAAACAGGTGTTCACTATGGCAATCTGGTCAAACACATTTGCTTCACTTATGGGTGAGCTGGTACCCATTAGAGTTTTCTCAAGTCAGTGTCCATTCTGTTTTTAACAGAAGTTTATCACTTAATCTGTGAATGGATTTCATGTGGTATAATTTGCTATGGAACCTTAAGGAATGAAGATTTTCTTAAATATGAAAAATTAATCTTGGTGAAAGATAAATGAAGAATTAAGTGAAATTTTGTGTTTATTATATAAATACGTTCCCTGGGTCAACATACTCTTTGGCTGAAAATTTACCCCCAAAACCTGAAGTTTCTTTCCCTAACTACAACTAGAGTTTACAAAGTGACATGGGTTAACTGACCTTCCTTCATGGTTCCTTCTATTAACTGATGTATAACTCTTAAATATTTAACTTAAGAGGAAGTGCCTGCTTGTACATTTTGT